GCGAATATACGTTTGCTTCAATGAATCTGCTAAGCCCTATTTTAGTAGGGTTTAAATGGACTGTCTTTTTTCGAACCCCTTCGATTCGAATAAAACTGAGGCAGATACGAGACGAGAGATCAAACATACTTTCAGCGCGTGTGTAATCCTGCATAATCTCGGCCCTACCAGCCTAATAAAATACGGTACTTCGAACATATCTCACAACGAAGATAAATCAATGATTTGTACGCCGGGGTTTTGGCACGCGAATTTAATCCCGGTTTTACATGTGATTAAAGCGCGGGATGAAAGTGTCAAGGCGGTTGATGCTATTATGAAAATGCATCGCTCGCGTTTAAATCCGAGCAATACTGTAAACAGCCGAATAATTCGAGATTTAATTGTATTACGGTCCTTTCTGCAATAATTGTATTATCAATCTATTCCTTTTCGGTTATTTTAATTATTATAAAAAAAAATAAATTTCTAATAATGAAAAAAATTATGTATTTATTAAAAGTACATATTGTGCTGATTTAAATGAACTTGAATTAATCTTTATTATATATTGTAGTTTAAAATTTTGAAAACTATTCATGCTAATTCGTTGGACGCCCACGAATATCAATGTCATCGTTATGACAGATACGATTCATCGCCGATATAAAATGTCGAGGCTTATGGGTGGCAATCGGACTTGCGATCTGCGATTTCTCGCGATCGAGAGTCTCACTATTAAATCTAAAGCAGTAAACCCACGTCACTCCGGGATGAATGCCTGGCTGGGTCGGGCATTCTTCAAGTAAATTATAGTCTTGAATGGGTGGCGCGGCAGGGGGTTGGTTGGCACGCGCACCGCTGGGGTACACCTGCCCCCCGTAGACATCTGTCCCCCTGTACGTCCAGCGCTGGAGTCAAACTATGGGGTACGTATGCGTATATGTACATGAATACATTTTTCTACGTGTATGTACGCGGCAATTCTCGTCAAGTCTCTGTCATCAACTAGACGGTTTTACGAAACCGTCAATTTTCGCGACAGCGATGATTATAGAATCTCAAAATTTAACGGTTGTCGGATGAAGTTTCTTCATATTGAGTTATTCTCTGCGTTTATTATGCAAAATAAGAGATTATATTTTGAATTATAACTTTTTTATTCCAAAAAATTTATTGTATTTTATTATATTTTATTAGGAAATTGATTCCGAAAAAATAGTTTTGCATTATATATAATACCTAAATATTGTCCGTATATACATCTAAATAAATTACTTTATTCATTTCATCAAGTTTCTCTTAATAAAATAATAAATAATATATTTAATTTTAAGTTTAAAAGTTTTATTAGTTTATCAATTTTAAAATTATTGTTAGTAGACAAATAATACTGTAGTTAGTATTAGTACAAATAAATATAATTGATATTAGTACAAATAACAATTTTTATTTTAATTTTATTCGAATTTAATTATATTCTCTTTAGAAGTTTTCGAGGTTTTTTTAATAGATAGAAGTATATAAGGTTTTCTATAAATATAATTAATAAATAATTCATAAATGTATCAATCGCTGTTAATTTTTCTACTCACAGTAGTACTACTAATCTTAATATTATAACATCAATGCATAAATGCATAGTATGATTTGTGCATATTTCATTCTTCTGTAGATTTATCCGGCGATACATTATGCGAGGGTGCGCACATTAATCCGCGGTTCATTCTAATTAATTTCATGAATCCCGACACCGAGAGGAAGGCAGAAGGAGCGGGGAAGGGACGGCTGCAACTCAAATAAGGCTTTCCATATTTTAGCGTGGACGAGTCATCGTAAATGGAGAAATTGTGGCGAGTTCCATGATGTATCGGGGTTGGTTAGACGCGGTAGCGTAACCGGTATTGTTCGTGGTTTACCACAAAGGCCTGCAAATGCCGACTTGCAATGAAAAGCTGGCTACCCTGCATCTAAACAGATGCGGAGATAGAGAGAAACATGATGCTTAGCAAATTTTCCGTTAGCATATAGACGTGCTTGCGAATAAACTTTCAATTAATTTATAATGAAAACTTTAGTATTAATAATTAAATAATTCATGAATTTATCGAAAAAATAATTGAATCGCTTTCATCTTTACAGAATTAAGAAACAATTAAGATTGTCCCTATATTTTTAATGAATAATTGTGCTTATCGCAATCATGTAGGAGGCCTACATGGAATTTATTAATCAAGAATGACACGATTGACTCGTAAAACGAATTAGATTTCCAACGAAAGCAAGTCGCGCTCGAAGAGTTCCGGCCTTCATAGGCCACGGCCATTAATCTTCGATTAAGTGCTCAACGATCGGTCAAGGTAATTTTACGAGTTTTCCTGAATTAGGAAAGACCGTCTCACCCTCCTGACTGTGCCCCGTACTTCCCCTTGTGACCGTGTCGCTCCCTCTCTCTACGGGGTGAATTACCGTCTCTCTGTCAGCCACCAGTATGTCACCGTACAGACCAGCGCGCCAGTACAATGAGGGCCGACTATGGCGATCGATATGCGCACTCGACAGAAACGACCTGAGAGGTCGATCGAAGCGAAATCACTGCGTCTGCGATACGCAAAAAATATCGTGCGTCCAAAAAATGATGAGAAGTTATTAACCACTTTACTTGAATTCCGTTTGTTCTCGTATTTATATGAACTGTCATATATTTTGAAAAGAAAAAAACATCTTTTCTTTGCTTCAAAAATGCGGAATAAATAATCAATATTAATATTATATTGCTTTGCAATTAATAATCAAATATTCTTTTCAATAATCAAAGAATTAAGCACTTACTACAAACATGATCATTATTAATAAAATGATTATATAATAATATTAGAAAGAAAAGAGAAACAAATACGGAAAGAGAGAAATGTGTTCAATTTGTGTCTTAAGGAAAAATTAATTTCGAAGAAATGCATAGAGAAAATTTCTGAACGCTATTAAAAATATTCTGTGAAAATAAAAACCGGCGATAAAACTGTTTGTTGCGTTCGTTTACGCGTTATTATCTTTTTTTATTACATGAGCGTAGTTACGGAGTAAGCTCTTAGCAAAAACTGATTGAATCCCCCAAAATCCAACACCTTTATAGATGCTGGCCGTCTGTCGCGCGCTCTGCACACATTGATATATCGTCCGCATAATGGCGCCATTGAGGCATTACTATTATTGGCGAGATTTGGGGAAACGATCAAGCGTACTAACGGATTCGTCGCAGCTTGCATGCTGTTTGCAAATAGATCTTGTATAGGAAGATATTGTTCACACAGTGTAGTCTTGATAGATCGATTGAATTAATGATTTGTTAAATCGCCTAAATTTACACATTTATTCCCAGAAATATTAATTTGTAAAATAAAGTTGACGCAACAAAAAATATTTGATTTTTTTAAATGCTTAAAATTATCTCATTATAATGATCGGATTTATATTGGTAATTAAATCTAAATCATAAAAAGATTATTAAATTAAAATGGGAGTAAAAATCTCAAATTAGATATTTCTATCTAAATATATTTAAATATTTCTATGAAAAATTGAAAGGAAAAAGAAGATTAATTTTTTTGTTTATCTAAAGAAATGTTTGCAGTTTAAATTTAAATATATAAAAAATAAAATATATAAAAATAAAATATAAATAATAGTCAGAAAAATAAAATAAAATAAATACAATATGTTACGTATTTCTAATCGAATAATATTTCCACAATAATTGTGTAACCGTAGATCAATATTATCGCGGCGAAGGGGTAAAGAGGATCTCGGAAGTTAAGTAAAATTTCCTTGAGGGCATAGAAAAATATTATCCTTCCATTTTGGACACTCCGAACGGTTGTTTTGATAGATCCTCTCTCGCTCGTTCTCCGTTTGATCGAACGATCGAACTCTCCTATTTATTTTGCTAACACTTGGCCATCACGTTACAACGAGGGGACATCCACTTGCTCTCGTTATGCAAATTGCTTTCTTTATAAAGATGCTTTTGCATAATAACAAGCAATTATTTCTCGAATATGATACAGTTTATGCATTCTTCGCGAAAAAAAAGTTGCTAAAGAAAGCAAAATGGAGAGGCAAAATGTGCTTTTATTGATTTTTATTTTTTTCACGTAACATTCGTGTATATAATTTATCAATGATTATGCATTTGTAATTTTCTTAGTACACATGATAATTGATGTTATACAATAAATAAATCTTACGTCGAAATATTTTTTTAAACAAGAATAAAAAATTGATTTGAGAATGATTAGCTAATTATGAAAATTGATTATTCAACACTTACGTGGATTGGTCGTTTTGCAGTCATGTTTTACATGTAATCCTTCGGATTATATGGGTAGATGTAACTTCAGGCACGATTTGTGATACATCTGCTCTGTGGTGGCTTTAGTGCAGGACGCGTGTCCTGGCACGTGCTCGTTCATTCTCGAGAACTACTATTCCATTCCTGTAAAGTGGATCAAAGCATTTCGTTGCAAGAATGCAGCCAATAGATTGTGGCTTCTAATACTCCTCCATGTGTTTTTTATAAAATTCATAATATTAAAATACGAATCATTGGAAATATATTATAACAAATAACATATTATACACAAATATAATAAAAGTTGACAAAGAAAACTAGATAGGCAAAATATGCTTTTATTGATAAAGTATAAATTATGTACAATATATTCTTCTTGAATATAGACAATTCCGTATTACGATAAGAGCACTGGCGGACGTTTTATATATATATTGCTAGTTCTATAACTTAAATTTAGCTTAAGATGTATTGAACAAAAATGAGATCGAGCGTTCGAGATCAGCTAAAAATAATGTATAATTGATGACTAGAATAAAAGGAACGTAGATAGTACGATTTCTGATTTAAGAAATCCATCAATTATTAATTATATATAATTAATTTTCAATGGTAAATCAGACATTTCCGCACTGAATATTAGATTAAATTATTTCTAAAATATTGGCAAATTAGGAAAAAAATGTACTTTATACAATCGTCATTTTTGCAAAAATAACGTTGTACACCTCGATTATTTCTATTTTTCTTTGTGATCTTGTGTATAGAAAAATACACTCATTGAGAATTAAAAGCGGAATTAAAGAATCACCTCAAACATCATAAGCATCATAAACGCGATGCGAGATATTTCTCGAATAAAATACTCTCTTACAAAGTAGATAACGATATAATCATAGCACTGTCTTTTTACATTCACGTCAGTTCTTTGGAAAAAAAACACTCTTCAGCCATTCTTCAGAGATGTAATAATTATATTCAACTTTTTTCTATTTAATCCTTCGATGAAGTTATATCCAGAAAATATCTGTCTTCCTATCTCTTCTAATATTATATAATAACACTGATTATGACAAAGCTGAAGAAACTAAATTGATTCGTGGATAGAAATAATCGACGTTGAAGAAACGGCTGTCCGAGTAATTAAATTAAGCGTACATGCCATCGATGTATCTAAAGACACTGATACATATTATTGTGATGAGGCATGTGATGATGAGGTGGCGGCGGTGGCAACTGATGCTGAGGACGATGAACCTGGTACATCCTCTGATCGTAACAGGGTTGATATTGCATTGGTGGACTCACGCTCTGATCGCTATAGCAGTCGTACTCCTGCCATTCTGGTGCGACGAATCGCTCCTGAGGAGGATACGGAAAGCCCACTGTATGCTGGGGCCCGAGCCTCTTCTGGGCAGCCACTGCGCAGCTTCCGGTCGACGAGGTAATCATGTTACCGTTTTCGCTGATGCTGACCGTGACGTTGCCGACGTTCACCGTAATCTCGCCACCATCGGAGTTGCCCAGGGTTTGTGATAGCGCCCAGATGTAATTATGCGCGAAACGGAGCGTTTCTATTTTTGTCAATTTCGTGTCCTCGGGAAAGGTTGGCAGGGCCATTCGCAAGCGTTCCAAAGCGTCATTTAAAGTGTGCATTCTGTGACGTTCGCGATCGTTTGCCTTTATCCGTCGGTTTCTTTTTAGTCTCAGCACCTGTTCGCGAGAAAAAAGTTGAAAAGTTTAATTAGAAGAAATATCTATTTTAAGGAAATAGATAAAAAAGTGATAATTAAGATAAAGATTGTAATTGTGTAGAAATAAAATTGAAAAAAGAAATTGATCTTTTCAATTTCTAAAGAATCTTTAGACCTTTAAATTTCTATAAAAGCTTAAGATGTTTGGGAAATTATATTTAGATGAAAATAAATTATAATTTGTAATAAATTCATATGTACCTGCGTGGGACTTTTGCAACGAGTGTTTCGCGTTTTTTTGCGTTTTTCTTCTTTAGCCGGAGGAAAGAGAGTGTCGGTTGGTACTTCGTGTTTCGGTGATTCAAAACTCACGTCAAAACCGGAATCAGAGGAGCTCGAGAGTTCGTCGAAACCTCCCTCGCTACAGAAGGAGTACTCCGACGACATCGCTCCGAATTTATTTTGCTGTAACGCGAAACGATCAAGCATTTTTGTCCTAATTCTTTTATATACGAATCAAAGTTCTATTATTATACGATTGTATATTTTAAAAAGATATTTCTTTCAAAACTTTTTTACTTTTTCACCCTAATCTTATATTTTAATTTTATATTTTTTATCTTAATTTTATATTTTAATTAATATCTTCTTTTTAATATTGAATAAAATTATTTTACTTTTTTACAATATCGATAAAAATTTTTAATATTCTTTTATCGAATTTTATTTAAAAAATGTTATAGAATAAATTTATATACACATATATACATACATATACTATATACATATACTATATTTTAATTCAATAACGCTAGATTTAAAACTTTGTCAAATATGCTCAACGTACCTTTAAATAATTCAGGGACAAAATATATTTCCTGAAATAGCACACAACACAAGATAGAAACTGCACTTTCTTAAGTGATAAGAAGAAACTTTACGCGATTAATAAAACTTCGTATCACGAAAGCGACGGATCAAAATGGGAAATGAAAAAAATAAGAATTCATCGACAAACGGACTAGGCGGGGTACAATTTGGTACTGTGCATGTGGCAAGGGGCTCTTAGAACATATATACCGTCCCGGGGGTATTTCGCCCCCTCCACACGAGCTCAGGCCACCGTAAGGCTCTATGGGGCACCGAGTAGGTTCACCCCATAATCATCATAGAGGGATACCTCTAGCGTTTCTCCCCGCTCCTCTTCGTGTATGCATTAGACGCGTGCCATGGCGATGTAGCCGCCTTGTTAGAAGATTAGAGGTTTTTAGGACGATTACACTGCTTCGGGATTATCGTGTACAATCAGCCCCCAAATTTACAATCAATTCCTGAATATTTTCACTGCAATTGCATTGAAAAATTATATGTGCAATATATGTATATATACCTAAGAAACATCAAAGTTATTAAATAAAATAATATTTTATAATAAAAATTTTGCTAATAAAAAGTTTTGAGTTTGACACATCTTTTTATCATTTAATCTTTAAGATTTAAATTGTTTTTTTTATTTTAAGTACTATTTATAAGCAAAAAATTTTTTTACAAAAATTAAAATTGCTTAAAACATGTCTTTTTATACTAGTATTACAAAGAAAAAATTCAAGTATCAGTAAATCAATATTATTAACAATGTATTATACTTTCTATAAAGTTTTCTTGCATACCGTTTAGCTGTAAAGTACAACGGGTAAATCACATGCAGGCGTTTATTATATTACAAAATAAAAGAAAATGTATATTTTTGTTTTAATAAAAAAACTTAATTTCTTTTTATAAATAAATTAGAATATTTTTGAATATTAATAAATCATACACACATATATATAAATATTTAAATATTTAATCATTTTTATATGATACTATTTGTACAGGAAATATATAATGAAAAAAGTTATAAAGTAATATGCAATTATTTGTTTTACTTACAATTTATAATATTCCTTCGTGAATGTTCATAATCTCGTAGTCATCTAACGATCGTGCGCAATGTATGGCTGAAAATAAGTTGTAGATAATCTAATAAAATCAACGATGACCATATGTCGCACTTGCTAATCAGTTGATAATGCATATCACTACAGAAACCAAATCGGGTTAAAACAAGATAAATTAGAACAGAATTTTAATGTAAAAGTACTATAGGAATTGATTTTTTATTGCAATAATTAATTCGTTGTTTCATAAATTATCATGATTTTTTTCTTCATTTTAATTTCATTTTAATTGTATATATATATATATATATATATATATATATATATATAAGAATCCTAATAAAAAATATTATATTTCCAATATTGCTATTTTGTCAAAATTATAAAATAGAAATAATAGAAGCTAAAAATATAACAAAAATTTTGACTGTATATTAGGCAAATTTGTTAATCAATTAAATATTATTATCCTATAATATAATGTGTGTGTATAAAAGAAAATGTAAGATGTCTAACAAATAAAGTTATCAGAGTGTATCTTGTATACTTAACAGTGCGAGACGAAATATTAGTTTGTAAAAGGATTAGTGATATGAAGATAGGAGCACTCAACGATTTGTACGACATATTAGTGTCCATCGGTCACGAACTCATCAATTTTTGACACGCTGGATTTCGGAATGACTGCAGAATGACTCACATTTTAAATTACGTTTGCTGTAAATGCTCTGCAGGTCTTGGTTTTCTATCATGAATAAGATCGGCCTATATCGGTAACGAAAAATATCAAGAACGCGTGGTAAATGTTCGCACGGGGATTTGTTATCGAGAAGGATATTCATATATTCCGAGTGTACTGTCAATAATTTCTACAATCGAAACAAACAGATCTGTCGCTTTCTGGTGACGATTACTTGAATCTTCGACTTTTGACATTTCGCAGAAATCGCGTGCGAATAGAAGCAATCGTCACACATGTCGCTAGAAGACTATTGTAAATATTTCTTGTCTATTTGCACAATTTACGAAAAATAGAAAATTGGACAAGAAAAATTCTAGATAGCAAGAATGTAAGAGATAAATATTTCTTTTATTATAATTATAGTTAATAAAGTTTTGAAATATGTAATTAAAATGTCTAAAAATCTCTACAATTATTTTGTTCTTAAAACAAATATAATAATGCAATAAATGTATATTAAAAGTGTAGAATTGATTTATTATTAACTATAGAACTTATCTTTTCTGTTCTTAAAATTAACAATAAGTAATAAGATTTATTGCTAAATTAATTTGTAATAATATTAAATTTAGATTCTCTTAGAATAAATCTTTTTTGTGCTAAAAAGAATTTTATGATTAAAATCGATTATCTGTGCGACTCGATCATAATTACAAAATATTTTTTTGAAATTGATCATTTTCTCAGATACTTTGTTGCAGTCTGATAACGAGCAATATGTAAATCATGATTGCTTTCGTCGTGCACCGCCGGTTTTTGCGCTAAATTTCTCTTATACCGTAAATGTAAGATGGAATATTTAATGTGAGGGGATTACAGCACCGTTTGATCAATTTGCATAATTGTAACGCTCCTAAGCAATTTTCCTGAGGCGTCGTGCGTATATTTATGAGCGTTACATCTTGTATAGATATCACTGACCTGGCACAAATCTATCCTCGATGTATCTCACAACATTATGCTGGAATGTTAATCTTCTGAAGACATTGCAACGGTTGAACATTCTACTATTTATCTAAAAAAGAGATGCTATTCCCATTCTACTACTTCTCTTCCTGTAAACTTGAGAATAAATTTAAAAAATTTATATTGCATTAATATATGCAAAAAACAATTACATAATAACAATAAAATAAAGCTACTTTTAAAGTATATATAGTGATAATTATTAGAATATTTAATAGAAATCTGTATAAAAAGAAAAAATAGAGATTTTATAAAATTTACTTGTCAGAAATATTTATTTTTGGCATATACGTGTAAAATGTAAAAGTCTGAGATTATTACGAATAAATAGTAGCATCGTAGAAGAACGTAATTTTTCATAATTTTTTTGTATATTGAAAGCCGAAGGCAATGGAATTTAACTGCGACAAAGTTGGTCTTACCATGAGAGCTTGAATAAAACCACTTTCTCTTAGCAAAACCATGCCACTATATTTGGCATTATATGTCTTCGAATGCTCCCGTAGAATTTATAATAAGGCGAGAACAGAAAGCAACTAATTGTTGGACATTTACAGAACAATATTTGCTCGAGTTAGTCATTATAAATTATTTCTTCCATTGTTGATGACATTCGGATTTATTGCCCGGAAGAAATGATTCTTTAATTACACGCCAAATTTTTAGGCGTGAACGTATTGCGATTCTCTGTCACGCTTTCTTGCAGTGGTCATTAATATTTCATATGTCTTTTACATTGTTTATCACGCCATTATTATTTTCTGAAAATATAACAATTATAACAGAATAATAATTAAAAACTTCAAAAAAATCATGTTTTATACGTTCGAATAAACGATTTTACTCTTTTTTACAAACTCTTTAATAAAAAAAATTTAATTAAGAGAAAGTTCAATAAAAAACTTAGGAATTTTATACAAAATATTAATTGATATTTTAGGATATTAATATTTTAGAATAATATTTAAAATTGTATAATAAAAAATATTTAGTGTACATTAAATATGGTTTTTATGTAGAATTAAAAATAAAAAGAAATAATTATATATTTACAAAGAAAAATACAATCATCTACCTGATATTTTTCATATATTTTTTTATAATACTACTCACGTATCTTTTAAAGAAATAAAAGAGAGAGAAAAAAAGAAAAAAAGAACCCTAACCCTTTTTACACTTTGAAAATTCGTAGCGCGATAAAAGGTCGCCGTGAAATCGATACTGTCGCAGACACATGTTCGATCGGTCGGCGGAAATATTGGAAATTACACGAAAGATTTGTCCCAGAGGCGTGCAGAATCGAAAATCAAATAAAAAAAGGGCGTGTAGGTACGCCGATCGCGTTCGTTTGTACAACGAAACCCGTAAAAGGGTTCGACTGCGATAAAGGCGATTCGCTCTGATTGGATAATTTATTGGCAAAGGGCAATCAATGAAATTGCGCCAACTGGTTTCCACAAGATATCCGTGAAATATTTCTAGAAACTAGGGAAGAAACTTTACAAAAATTATTTTTATGTTCCTTTTTATTTTTAGAATTTTATTAAAATTCAAAAAATATTTTTTTAGTTTTAAATTTTTTAAATAACAATTTAAAATAAGTAAATAAATTTTTTCATTTAATGGAAAGATTTATTTACGATTAATATTTCTAATTTATTTTACATAAACATTATAACATGATAGTACAATGTAATTAGTAATGATATTTATAATATCAGATCAATTATTCTATATAAAACAATTAGCATATAAAACAATTAGCATATAAAACAATTAGCGCATATAATAAACTATGATGCGAGGAAAGTTAACGAGTGAATTTCTTATAGTACATTATGATAAATAAACAGAAAGCTGTTACGTGCAAATCACATGAATGCTTTATTGGAAAGTAGTTCCGGAAAGTAGAATTATGTTATTATGTTACTTTGTAAAATTGATCAATTATTGTTGAGTTACATCAAACTTATTTCATTATAGTGTCGACATTGATTGACTAATAATTCAAATAATTTCTTCTAAAAACATATTCATATATACTTAGCTGTATCATTAGAACATTTTTCCTCAAAATTAGATATGCATCGTTTAAAAAAAATATTGGAAAATATTAGTGTTACAATAATCTAAAGAATTTAATTCTTATGTAGGCGAAAAATCGTATCCGAAATATACCTTACATATTACGGAATTATTTCACTCTTGCGCTGAATTATTCAATTATTCACGCCTAGTCCGAGTGAAAACGAATGTTCATTAGGCCACTTTCCGTTTTTCCTCGAAAGCATTGCAGTAATTCGGCGGGAGAGGTTGAATCGCATGAAATAGCGATCCTCTATACAATCGGCTCGTGATCGCAATAATTGCGCGAGCATAATCGTCTAACAGTCATGCCTCAAAAGGTCCTATCGTGTGAGAGGCGCGGGTGCGCGTGAGAAGTGGGTTATCTAACTGACAACACCCCGTATGCCTCATGTAGATCACGGGAGTTTTCCCATAGTCGTAACAGGATGCTCTCGTAACGAGACGTCTACGAACCGCTGAAACAAAGAGAGGGAACGAGAGAGAGAAAGAGACAATCGCATCGAGAGATGATGCTTGCAGACGTAATCTTTCCCATGCAGCTCTCGGCTTTACTATCGCGTGTAGTTTATTATTGTACAAACGCATCTCTCGCACTCGCGGATGCGACGAGTTACGTGTCTTCTGAATTCCTGCAGCCTCGCTCCAAGACACGAGATTCATCATCACGGTCGAGAATTTAAAAGATAAGAATCATACGCGTTATTTTCTCATATTTTTCTTTCGTAATTTCTTGCTCTGTATCTCTCTAATGACATTTAATTATAAAGTATAAATAATGAGAATCATGCAATGTATAAATAGTATATAATGTTAGTAGTAATGCAATATTAATTAAAGATAATAATACTATAGAAATTAATTACAATACTAATATTTTTATTGTTTATTTTTATAAGTTAATCATTATTCCTTATTAATCGTCAATTAATATTCAATTCTAGAAAGCTTGCATCTGGACCAAAAATTCAAACAATTGCTCGCCAATATTGCTAACAATAAACTAAAATGTGCGCGCGCGATTGGAGAGATCCAGAATCCGGTTCGGCTTGATCTCCGACAGCTTGGATAGATATTGATCAGCGAGTTGCTCCGGCTGTATATATCGAGAGGAAAACAATCTCTGTCCGACTTTAGATGCCGGGATCGTTGATACTCTATCATCGAAGGTGGAGCCGCGCGTTCGCCGCGGCCTTTGCTAACTGTACAAATCCCCCTCTTGTTCTCGTAAGCGAGGTCCTCCTCTTACCCGGTTGATTTTCTGCCTTTCTCTCGGTTCCTCTCTCGTCATTCTTATTTCCCGCAATCGTGCCACGATTCACGAATACCTCTTTTCCGCGTCCTTTTTATCCCCACCGGCTATGAAGAAGCGAGAGAGAGAGGAGAAACGGGGTAAGGAATGGAGCGAGATGAAGGCACGCCGAGCCTTCGGCATTTTAACGTTGCTCTTTTATAGCCTGTACATCTTAAATGCTCTGGAGAGACCTTTTCAACCATCTCTTTGATGAGATAGACGAGAACGAGGAACTCGTGAGAGAGATCGTTTCGACTGCGGTTTAAGATTGCGATGCCATATCGAGACTTGATTTTCGAAATGCTCGACTTAATCGACAATATTAATGTTACATAAATCGATATAAAACAATATAATTCATAATAATTGATATAATAATAAAATATAACTTATAATAATTGATATACAATTCATATATTAATGCAATTAAATGCTGCAATAATATTATTTTTTAAATAGATTTAATTTTAAATGGCAATGTTTTGTTATAATTAAAGCAGCTCTCGAAACTTAGGAGAGACGATAAACAGAGGATTTTAAAGGAGATAATTACATTTTTATGAAAATAAACGCTTCATTGAATGAAAAAATGTTACTTTCTCTCTTACAAAGTTTTCTCTTTAAACTATAATTATTGACTCAATTATTTCTTCATTGCAACGCTTGTATGCTGAAGATAGAATTAATTTTATTTCTCGATATAGACAAATTTAATTCGACAAAATCATTTTTTCCTGCTGGTATATTTGATGATATATTATGTAATTAAAAAGCTATATCGAAAGGTCACAGCTTTAAGATTGTTTCAAATGTCAAGAAAACTGATGATGCAATTCCATTCTCATCATCGATTGACTTCTCATCACAGCCTCACTACAACTTTTGTCATACCTCATTATTATCAAATCACACATCACAATCAGCAACTCGTTTATTCGTGGAAGACATAATTCATTTTGCATTAAAAATTTTTATAAGAAAAATTTAATATTATGGTATTAAATAAAATAGAATATAGAAAATTTCTATTTTTCTAAAGGCTTATATATATATTTATTTATTTAAAAAAATTTTTAAATATATTTAAATAAATAAAATTAATTTTAAAAGAAAGCTAAAATTTCCCTAATTCTAATTGTATAATCGTAGGAAAATTGCTTCGTAAGCCACGTAATCAAATTCTTCAAGATCTTTTGCGCAACCCTTTCACCGGCGGTTGAAGATTAAATCGAACGAATCCGGAGGGTCATTCGACATCCTGGCAACGAAAGAGAAAAAAATCTCGTCTCTCGGATCGTCGTCGTCCTCGAGCGGATTTTACCGAGTGCGGACTATAGACTCTCCTTATTCTGTGGCGCGCGACTCCTCTCTCTCCATACCTTCTACTCCCGTGGTGGAGGCCACATACCTTCTTAGGATGCAGTGTAGACCTGTCCATTGGCTGGTAGACACCGGTCGGTTCTCTTTTCGGTCTGAGACGACGCCGATGTCCGATGAGACCGAGAGGGTAGAAAGACACGCTCGCACCCGCTCGTCCTTTTAGTTACCTGTCCTCAGGTGCGTCATGCGGATTCGACGCGGTTCCACCGATACGTTTAAGTGAACATACAGAGCAGTGCGCAGGAACATAGCACGTGCGGTATCGTGACACGATGAGGTGATAAACTGTGTGTTGTGCCAGCGCACGAGATCTCGGAGCGACTTTGGAAGGTAAGTTTTCTGAGCTAATGGAGATGGAATTCTTGGATTCATTGTCCTCAGCAAGCAGATGCTAATTGCCGAAAACGTTGACCCCTAAATTTACTTTTGGTTGGAAGAAACTGTTCAAATAATGAAGGGTCTGTGTTGACGGATCAGCTCTCGTTTTTGCAGCGTGGGTGACGGAGAATATTAAACAATGTTGTAGATTAGTTCGTATGTTTGTCTCCTAAAATAATATAAAAATTGTTAAGCTGGATTGTAATGCTACTTCGCTTTAATTGCTGAAGAAATTCTCATTATCTTTATTTATCTCATGCCAAAAGAAAGGAGAATGTTTATTGTGCCAGAATTCTTTTATCTTATCAAAATGATTTCTCTGCCATTTTCCATTTCTTTTAAGTTTGTTAGCCATACTCTGCATAATTATTACTATTTTTATTTGAATATCGGAGATTATTTTACAAATTTATTGTACAATAAAAATGATGACATAAAAGAAAGGGAGGAAATTACAATCGGACTGGGTCTGACTACGATGCTTCTGTAAATTGAGGAATCGAGGTCATCGATTGAGGATATCGTCTTGTTTCAACGACGTTTTCTTGGCGCAACGGTATCGCTGTTTTTGTTCGACATCCGTGGAATGGTGATACCGCAACCAGATTAGAAACTTGTCAGAAATTATTAAGTTTTCACAGTATCGCGTTTAATAAAATAATAATTCCAATCATTGAAATATCGCATAATGCATTAATTTATCGATTATTATATATTTTAATTATTATATATTTTAATTTATCATTCTAGCAAATTAGTTTGCATTTGAATGTTTGAATTTTCAAAAATTGGAGTATTGCTAAAATTTTTAATACACTAAAAAACACAATTTTGAATGAAAGTTTAACGAAGCCGTGTAAGTCTGCTCAAAATCTCGTTATCTTTCTCGCCATTCTGCAAGGAAACCAGTTCTGACCAGCAAGTTTGCGGCTTGTCTAACAATAAGAATTCAAGGGACTTGAATTCAAGGGACAATATCATGAAAAGTTGCATAGTCACGGATTTGAAAATTTTTTTGATGAACTGTGACTTTTGGCATTTATGAATAATTTCTGGAGATTGTTACTCAAAAAATTAATCCTTCAAAAAAAAGGATGAGCAAAATTTATTTCAAAAGTAATCATATGCTATATTAGCGAGAAACTTCTTATTTTTTATGTGGATTAATATTTTTCGTTATTTTTCGAGTATTTATTTTAAAAAGAATCAGAAGTTATAAGTTTTGAATATTTACTCCAAAATTTTCTGATAATATCTTTCGATGAGAAGTGTATACTAATGAAAGTGAAGACCTATAAGAAGATACGTACGCGCGCGTGCGCAGCAGGATATTCCTTTTCTTCGTCATTCATCCTGACATCACCTGGTCACGCGGTGTCAAGATTCCAAGTGCGTAACGTAACGGAGACCAGAGAAAAAGGGGTGTAACGGTTTTTTTTCTTTCTCTCTCACTCTTTGCCTCTGTTTCTCCTTGTCTTTTCTGTTATTTGTCCTATTTTTTTTCTTTGTTTCTTTATTCCCTGCTTCTCTAGAATGAATCTATTTGAATTTTGTTACTTATATAATTTCGATTACAGTTCCTGTACTATTATTTACATTTCTAAACAAGAAATGTGGGATAAATCAGATCTATTTTTTTCTGCTCATGCAATTAAAAATGATAAATTAAAGTATTTAATAATTGTAATGTACATATAATAGTGTGTGCATATAATAGTGTGTGCTATTTGTGTAACACATAATCTTTTAAAAATTTTATTTAAAAAATTATTTAAGTCACCGGAGAAAAAAATAATTTTACAGATGAAAAGATATTTATTCCACAAAAAAGAGAATATGCATTTTAATACATCAGATATATCTGTAAGAATTATTTCAGAGAAATGATTAATATATCATGCTTGTATCTATTCGTGGAAGTTTGTTTCTTGTAAAACGCTTATTAAAATATCGAAGAAATTTTTCTGTGCTGAATAACTTATAAGATGGAAAATATTAATAAAATGATTACTATTAATAATATTAATGAAATGACTATTACTAATATTTGCGATAAATAAATTCCTTTGAAAAAGTAGTACAAATCGGTAATTATATTAAAACTGATTTATTTTGCTTTTTCTTGTAATAAAAAAATACCATTAATATATTATAACGAAAATTAACGAAAATTCCAAATTAAATATCGGTTATATTATTTGCAACGCATTTTTCACATGCCTATCGATATATGTAAATTTAAATTCTCAGACATGAAAATACATAAACAACAGAATCTTCGTATAGATAATTATGACAAATTTGTTTGTCATGAAATTATAATTATAAAGCTGTAAGAAGACATAATTAAATGTAGAGTAATTATGATATCACGGCGATCTTTCGCAAGTATACATTTTTAAATAATTTCGTAGTATGCGAGTCGCATATTGGTTTCTACTTCACTGCATCACTGCGGTCGTAGAACCATCATTCAATCTCTCGGTATCATTTTATACTTGACTGACACTAACGGTCGTTTCTATTTAAGGTTCTGTTACGTGTCGTATTCCGATGTGCACGCGGTTATCACCGTCACGGAGTTTTCACACCTTTCAACTTTACGAATTACTCCAAATATGTCGGAGAAATCGAGTTTGCTTTAAAATAAGGCATTAAATCTCATTAACGCTGCACATCATTTAAACTCGCCGCTATAAAAATAAAAGTCGTGATTACAAAATCTTGATTCTCAATTAGTCGCATGAGAAGTTTTATTTGCTCCTCGAAATTTTCACCTCGGATAAACGAATATCGTAAATTCTCAATATTACTCACTTTACTCATCAAATATTATTTTTATTTTATTTATTTTTTATTAAATTTACTTCTTTTTATTGTATCATAAGAGTATTTTTATTTTAGTGCATATAAAATATAAATTTATATGGATTATTTTTGGCAACAATGCAACAATTAAAATTAATTATATTATACATAGGAATCGCAGTTTTAAAATGGTAATTTCTGGTTTCTTTCGTTACGCTAAGTTCAAAGTTAACTATTATATTATCTGATTTTTATTTTATTCATTTAATTCAAAGATTGCAATCTATCTAGGCACGATAGCAAGCAACAATGATGAAAGCCAGATGCAATATGTCTTCACCAACATTATGACGTCATCGCGGATAAAGCTAAAATTATAAAGAGAAAATATATATATTAGAAAAAATTTTTCAACCTAAAAAAGTATCCTGTCATTTAAAATAATTGTTAGATTTAAAATTCACATTAACATTCGCAGGTTCCAGAAGCCACATAAGTACATGCAATCATCGACGCTATCGTGTAATTTAAAGCACTGTTTCGTCCTATGAACTTGCTTCTGCATGATGCTTCGTAACGTATTTTCATTGCGGAAGGTTGCATTTTGCAACACGCGCATCTTCTCGACCGGCGCATAAATAGGGATTTGCGTTCGAGAACTTGTAGGATATATGAGAGGCAAGTGCTGGCAACCGTAAATTTCCTTCCTCCGGCTCGATTGATAATTACTTCTCCTGGAGACGATCCCTGACGGCGGCCGCGGCCGGCTGAACGCGGAAGTCGAGGTTACTCTGCACGCACGAAGGCGTCGAGGAAATGCGGAGCCATTACCCCACGCTGTATGTCATTGTTGCTCTTGCCAGCGTCATTTCTTCCTGGTACCTAATAACATCGTGATGCGTCTTATCTGCCTACGCGATATTAATAATAAAACGTATCTCGCTCCGATGTCTCCTCCGCGGATACTGCGTGGGAATATTAATTAAAGACGCACGCTATTATCATAATCGGGAAGACTGTGCTCACTTTATTAATATTGATCCTGAATTTGCAAATTTAGTCGACACGTGTATTATTCTAAAGCTATTTAGAACATTGTTTTTAGATATTTATGTAAAAAAATTATTATAAGTACGTAATTTTTGTATTTTTGTGCATTTTATTATATTTTGTATTATATTGTATTATATTTTTATATTTTTCGAAGTTCTTTTTTCCTAAGTAAGATAAAATTTCTAAATAAAAAAATAATTTCTTTTGACATATACAAATTTTCTCAGAAAGTCAGTTATGACTCATTGTCAGACAATTCTCTTTCATAAAACAGCACGCAAAAATAATTTTCTTCACGTTTCTCGTTCGTTAGATTTCTTTAAAAGATATAAAGTGAAAACACCACGCTTTTCCATCCGGTATAAATCTGTACAATTCGATTTAGTCACGTCGTCGTCGAGTTTTCCTATATAGACCGGAACACGAAGTGAACTCCTAAAATGAAATCTGATTTCTAACGGCATTTCGCTCAAACATGAAAAATGCATTCTGATGCTGCCATGTTGCATCGGTTGATTGCGAGAGATTGCAAAGATTGTCGGAAGTATATACCGGTCGCCTGCACGCTGAACTTTTTTCTCTCGCAGAGTGGCTAAAAGTAGAGTCACGTTTAAACGAAGATTGAAACATCTTCGGAATCCTTGTATCCTACTCACGCTATTGCCATTTCCTATCCGTATACACTCGTTTGTATGCGCATGTTGTAGCTTTTCGAGTAATAGATCGATGAACCCTGATGTAAGAATTTGAGTGTATTCAATAACGTCTGCTTAATAAGAATAATAGATATCTTTCCATTTTAATTAAGATAAACATAGTGCCTCTAATTTCAATTTTTATTATTTAAATAAAATAAAAAGATATGATTAATATTTTGATTTATATTCGAATAGTTAATTTATAAATTTAATTTCTATTTTATGATTTTCCTATTTTAATGTTTACTTTAAAGTAATTTTAATCATCTTTGATTAATTTATAAATTAATTTATTTTATTTACGGGTTATTTTTCATATCAGAACTGTTAACTCTTCGATAAAGCACGAGTCGATTGCAGGTGACGATGTGGACGATTTTGCTGTTACTAATCTCCACGTGGTCTTCGTCATGGAGTCAGGTGATAAACAGGGCGCCCCATTTCGTTCAAGGTGGAGATATGGCCAGGTTGGCTGTATCGGAGGGCACACCGCCTGGTGCTCCTGTTTACACCCTTCAGGGAGAAGATCCTGAAGAATCTAAATTGCATTACTCGATCAGCGGCGAATACTTTACCGTCAACAGAGAGACCGGTGTCGTGATCCTGAGGAAAGCCTTAGATAGGGAGGCGCAAGATCTCATCGAAGTCATCATTAGTATAACAGGTAGACCTATGTATCTATATGTAATATTAAATAATAATCTATTATACCAATCGTCTATATATGTGCATCTGTTTTTCTTTATATTTTTTATATCAATATAAATAATATTATAAATATTTAAAAAAATCAGCAAGACTTGCATAAATCTATATAATTAAAAAAATTAATAAATTTTAAGATCTTATGTCTCCTTGAATATATGTACAATTAAATATCTCTAATATTGATTAGATATAATAATAAATACTTAAATTAATTGGAATTATTTAATATATTGTTCTCAAGAGAAAATTAATTTAATTTAAATTTTAATCAATTTAGATTTAATTGGAATAAACTTACCCGTTTCAGACGAAGGTGTCGCTGGATCGGAACCAAACACGGTGTCTCTTCGTCGCGAAATAGCGGTGCTCGACGAAAACGATAATCCACCGGTGTATCATGATCGTCCATACGCGGCCAGGGTGCCGGAAAGCGCGCACGTGGGTGATCTATTGCTGCCTTCGAATACGATCATCATCACGGATCAAGATGGTGGTGTCAATGCCGATGTTCATGTGCAATGCGTCGCGGCATCGCGCGACGATGACGTTTGCGAAGTCTTCGACATTACTACAGAAAAGGTAATTAATTTGTATGAAATATATAAAAAACTAAACAAATTAAATAAACAAATTACTAAAAAAATTAAATTACTTTACTAGAATTATTTTATTAGAAATATATATTTAAATTTACATCTGTATATTAAATTTTTTAGTTCATTTCTAAGATAATTTTTTGTCTCAAAAAAAAAATTAATGTACCGGTACACATCTAATACCTATCTTAATGACTTCTTTTAGCTCGCCGAGGGCAAATATGATGTTCAGATCACGCTAGCAAAACCGTTAGATTACGAGAGGAGGAACTCGTATTTGATTAATTTACTAGCTGTTGATGGAGCTAGTGATCCGTCAAAAAGATTGCAGGCTAGAGCGACCGTTGCCGTTGATGTTCTCGACGTTCAGGTAAGTAGGTCTCGATCATAACTGAAATAACCGGTACATAATTGACGATGATCTTACATTGGATAATAACGTCGTTTGTGATAAAATTAGTAGGGAATCATCAAACTAGTTATTCAATCTCTGCCTGTCAGTAGGAATATTGTCAAGTGGAGATTTAGGTCACAACTCGCGAATAACGTTTACAGCTTACTCGCGCTAAAGTAACGAGTCTTTCAGTTTTATTTCTATGCCATAGTCTTCGCTCTATTGAATATGCTTAATTTTTCAATTTTATTGATTTGTTCTTTATTATTCCTAAATTAAAAAAAGAAAATATGCTGAATTCAATCTATGGATATATAAGAAAAATAAATGAAGTTTAGTCGACTAATAATAATACAAAATAAAATTGCAAGTCTAATTATTTCAGTGTTTATGATTTCATGTAAATTTCCTATGATATAATAACGATGATGCTAAGGTGATAGATATTTAAAAATAGAGAAACAATTTTCTACTTGGAGCGTTATTACTATTCTTTTTTATTCAGCAAAATTTGTCGCGCAGGATCAGCCACCCATTTTCCTGAATGCGCCTTACAGCGCGGCGCTTCCGGAGAACACCGTAGCTAGTCACACGGTTCTGATAGTGCGAGCTCGCGACGGCGACACGGGTCAATCTAGGAATTTACTGTTAACATTGGAGGACGAAGACGCGGGCCATTTTGATCTCGAGATGTCTCGCGACGGTGATGTAACCATCGGCAAACTGGTGACGACCAATGTATCTCTCGATCGCGAAGATCCCAGGATTTTGCAGAATGGCGGTATCTATACCTTCCAAGTCAAGGCCACTGAGCTGATCAATAACGAGATACCAGCCGACATCGCGACGTCGATCGTCACGATCGTTGTGACGGACGTGGACGACCTCGTGCCCGTTTTCAATGAGGATTACTTTAGCATCAAGATCTCCGAGGATATTGGAAAGGACACTCCTCTGCCAGGTCATTAAGCCATCTAAAAATCGTGACAATCCAATTAGTTATAAAATTAAATAATTGAAAAAAATATTTTTACATTTTTTTATTTTGTTATTCTTTCCATTGACACTTATAAGTCAGAAAAATTTAACGAAAATAAGACTTGAAATCTTTATTGTCTTCTTATCTTTCTTTTTTATAATTCAAGAAGATCTTTTGTTTGACAACATAATGATTAAGCAGGTCTGAATATGATTGTGAGCGACGGCGACGTGGGCGACAATGCAAAGTATTTCCTGGCGTTACGAGATGTGCCGAGATATTCTGGAATCAGTGAAGCATTCACCGTCAGTCCCGAGGAAGCTCAGGGTCGAGTACCAGTAGTGATCAAGGCTAAGGACGTTAATGTTCTCGACTACGACGTTGACGACTCCACAAAAAGAGAACTCGAATTTGATGTTGTCGCGACCGTAGCCAGCGAAGTGGTCAGCACAATTCTGATTATGATTTTTTATTGCTTACTTTTTTGCATTTTAATTGAAAATAATTCAGACAATATAATTCCGTGCAAAACATCTCGCTGATTATTTTGTTGAATGTAGATAGTTCTTATTACATATATTTACAGTATATTTTATGCTATAGGTGGCAACCTCCAGGGTGCACATTCAGATTTTAGACGCCAATGATCACAGTCCTGAGTTCTCTCAGTCAGTCTACAAACTGGTAGTCTCGGAAGACGCGGAACCCGGCACTCGTTTCGGTGACGTTTACGCCAAGGATTATGACAGCGGTTCCTTCGGCGAGTTAACATACACATTGCGAGGTTTCGGCGCGGATAAGTTTAGAACCGATTCACAGGAGGGCGGGATATTTGTGGCGAAGAAACTGGATTACGAGGTGCAAAAATCCTATTCTTTAACGATGGAGGCAAAAGACGGCGGTGGTCGAGTATCCGCTGTCAATATCCTCATCGAGCTCGATGATGTTAACGACAATAAGCCGGTGTTCGAGCAAGCGGAGTATTCTAGGACAGTTCGCGAAGATGCTACAAGCTTCGATCCACAAATGTTCGTCCGGGCGACCGATGTCGATGGACCGATGCAGGGTAACGGAAGAATCTTGTATTCGATCAGCCGGCATAATAGTATCACAGATGATGTCTTCAAGGTTCGTTATCGAAACGTTTCTAGAAATCGATAATTTATACATTTATTTTATATTTAAAATATTTAATAATAAAATTCTTTGATCAAGATAATATTTAATATTAATTAACATTAAAAATCTAGTAATTTTGTAAATTAATATTTAATATTTAATTATGTTTAAATTAATATTTAAATTATTAATTCAAAATATTATTAATTCTTTTATTAAAAGCATTATTCTTATTTTAGATAACATCAATTATAATACATTACATATATAAATTAAATTATATAACATGTATTAATTAATATTAATATATAATAAGTATATATTAATTAATATATTTATATAATATATTATATATTATAATTGATGTGTTACTTTTTTAAAATAGCATTTATGTTTTTAAATGATGTTTTTATGATTATACAAAATATATCTTATACTACTTAATCTCATAAAAGACACATTTAAAAAATGTGATTATTAAGCTTTATAATATAATTAAATATTATTTCAAAAATTTTTTTGAATGTTCATATTTTATAACATAAAATTTGCAGATTAATCCAGACTCAGGTGAAGTAACTATATCGAAACCGGTTCGTTCCGGAGACACCGAAAGAGGCATTTATGAATTAATAATCCACGCGACGGATGTTGGAGCACCGCCATTGTACTCCGAGGCAAAGCTATTCGTTCGCGTTGGTGTTCCCGGTAATCAGAAACCCATCTTTCGAGGAAATTACAAGTCGAATCTACCAGGTCCCAATACATATCGAGCGAGACTTTTGGAAAACGCGTCTCCCGGAACGGAAGTGATTCGGGTGGTCGCGAATGATCCCGATGGAAGAGACAACCTGTTGCAATATTACATCGCATCCGGTTCTAAAGATAATTTTGTCATCGATTCTAGGTGCGACATAAATTTGCTTGGATAATCCAAGTATTATAGAAAGCATGTTTAGTTTCCTTTCTTCCGCTCTTTCAATTCGCAAGATTCATATAAAATACATGAGAAAGATCTAAATATATCAATAGCTAATAAAATTTTTATTGGTTACAGTTCTGGCATTATAACTGTATCACCTGATGCCCGGTTGGATTTGGAGACCGGTGGTGAAAAATACGAGGTCATCGTATACGCCGTTGATTCTGGTACACCTGTCAAGGAAACTGCTACTACTACTGTGACAGTGAACATTATAGATGTAAATAATAAGCCACCGACGTTTAACGAATCAACATATCTGGTCTATGTTTCGGAACGTGCGAGCATCGGTATGTTATTAACAATTAACATTTATTAAATTCGCAACTATATATCTATTTATATTAAATAATAGCCATTTTATATTTAATTGTAAGTCATTAAAATTGAAAGATCCTAGAGATTCTGAAACATTTTGTGTTTAAACATTATAGTAGATAAAAATTTTTAAAAATTGAGTTTTAAATTTACATTAAAGAATAAATTGCACAGATTAATTTAATTTGAAATTTTAACATTTTATATGTCAATTGTTTTGTTATTTCATAAAAAATGTTTACATGCAGGTGAGCCTGTATTAAAGGTAGTCGCGACTGATCCCGACACGGACGCATATTTGGAGTATTCTCTAGTGGAACCGATAAAAGCTGTCGATAAAACTGGCGTGGCCTTGAAGAGCACGATTTCTTACGATTACAAAACGGCATTTCGTATAAATTCCACTACTGGTTTAATAACCGTTAACCGGATGTTGGATTATCAAGTGGCCGCTGTTGTAATTTTAACGGTGCAAGCGCGGGATTTAAATGCTCTCGTTAATAAAGATGAGCAAGAGGCAAAAGTGGAGGTGACTATCTACATTCAAGCTTACAGCGACGACAATCCGACGTTCACGAATCCTGGATGGTCGCCGAACAATCCGACGATAAAGATCACAGTTCCGGAGGAACAACCCTTGGGCACAACGCTATTGATGTTATCGGCGAAAGAGCCGACGACCGGATATCCGGTTCAGAGGTTCGAATTGGTGAGAGAGAATGATGACGAAAGTTACGTCAATGTAGGCGTTCAGAGTGGCAATGTCGTACTAAGCAAGAGACTGGATTACGAAACGCTGAATCAGAAGGTAAGAAATATGAGAATATTATTTTGCTAAATAGAGAAACTGTAAAAATGAGAAACTTTTTGCGATAAAAAATTCTGAAAATCGAAAACTAATAAATTACTATAATTAACATCAAAATTTTGATCTTATTTTTTTTCAGTTTATTCGTTTCAAAGTGCGAGCACTCGCTAAAGATTACGATATTACACGAAAGATGTCAGAGGCCAATGTAATTGTCGAAATTCATGATACTAATGATAACAGTCCAGTTTTCAGTCAAAAGGACTATAAGATTTCCGTATTGGAGTCGGCAAAGCCTTCGAAAATCGTGCTTAATGTGAAAGCGACGGATATGGATAGTTCAAATACTGAACAGGAAATTCAAAGAGGATATGGTGAAGTCAGATACTCCTTGACGGGTGAAAATGCCAATCTTTTCGAGGTGGATCCTATAACGGGTAATATCCAGGTAAAAATCTTCAATAATTAATTAACTAATTTAAATTCTGCAACATAAAATATCAAAGATGATAATGTCGGAATTGTAATATCTGAGAGATACTCTTCAAAAGATATTCTAATCTAAAATTAGCATCTAAAAAAACTAAACTATTTTTAAAAGAAGTCTTAATTTGTTAGACATCTCTTAGATAAATTTTATATTTCGTTACCAGAATAAAAAAATAAAAAGAATGATTTATAGATCGCTGTGAACACGACCCTCGATAGAGAGAGACAATCGGTGCTTCGTTTTTACGTCGTGGCATCGGACATGCCGCAAGGTGGAGCCGAGCAACGAAGCAGCCGAGCCTTGGTGACGATCGATGTCCTCGATGTGAATGATAATGCTCCTAACTTCGAACAGGAATCGTACACCGCGGTGATACCGGAAAACGCGCCGGTGAGAATCAGCGTGGTGAACATCACTGCTACCGATCCGGATGAAGGTGAAGGCGGGATGATTTATTTCGAAATTATCGACGAGGGTGAGGCCAATGGTAAGATTAAATAAATACACGCGTTCGATGTTAATTTAAAAAATATTTTCTAAAATAAGTGTAAACTATAAATATATATGATTAGAAAATAAAGCTATTTGAATCATTGTTTACGAAAAATTTTTGTCATATGTTGTAAAAAAGAAAATTAATTGTAAATTGTAATTTTTTCTCTCTGTCTCTTTCTTTGCATAAGAAATATAAAATATAAAAATATATGTATTAATATTTTTTATGTAAAAAAATTACAAGCAAGATTTTTATAATTTGGAAAGAGATAAGATAGCTTCGGAATAATTTAATAAAGTATTCATTGCAAATTGCGCTGATCATTTTCAGGACTATTCAAAATAAATCATACGACCGGCGAGATTTACTCGGCACGAGCATTGACAGGCAAAGGAAGGACCGAACCGTACAATATGCGAATAAGAGCGCAGGATGGCGGAGATCCGGCCTTAAATTCGGACGCGAATCTTATTCTGTACATTGGAGACGTGGTGAGCAACGATGGCGTGCCGCTGTTTATCCGGCCGACGTTAGAAGAAGTAGCCTACATCGCGGAAAACTCTACGATCAGCAGTCCAGTTTTCCAAGTAGTGGCGTCCGATCCCGACGATCCAAATCTACCGAATGGCAGGATCACCTTCCGCTTCTTAGAAGACGGCAATTTTGGCAAAGACGCGAGCGCCTTTAAAATCAACAGTGACACCGGGTTAATCAGCACGCGAAAATTACTCGATCGAGAGACCAAGGACAGCTACACGCTGATCCTGGTCGCTCAAGATCTTGGCGAGCCGCCGCAACAGGCGACTAGGGTACTTCAAGTCATCGTGAACGATATTGATGATCATAAGCCGCACTTTAAACGCAATCTTGACAGTCCGCCTATCGAGTTGAACGTTCCGGAAGAGATGCCGGTGGGCACTAAGGTCGGTGTGATCGAAGCGATCGATGAAGACATTGGTGAAAATGGAATGATCGATTATGAAATAGTATACGGGAACGAGGCGAGTCTCTTTCTAGTGGAGCGATTGGAGAATAATTCCGCCGTTATCAAATCAAATGGTCGTCTTGATCGAGAAACCACTGAGTTTCATTTATTGACCATCAAGTGTTTCAAATACTCTTCCAAGAAGTCGGACGTGGTGCCGAAACCGTACAACAGACAGGATCCTTCGGAGAGACAGGTTCTTGTCAGAGTACTGGACATTGATGATAATAAGCCACGTTTCAAGAAAGACAATGTGACTTTAGGAGTGCGCTTGAATGTGCCCATCGACACGAGTCTGATCACCCTAGAAGCCTACGACGATGATTCCAGCGCGTTGCCCGTCAACTATAACATGAGCAAGGTCTCCTTCACATCCTTGGTCGATCCTGCTATGTCGCAGACAGAGATTCCGTCACAGTTATCCTTGAACGCACGCACCGGCGAACTCAGGACGACAGGATCTATGGCTGGATATGCAGACGGTTTTATGGAAATGATCGTGTCAGCCAACAACTCGGTGATACCAGGACGTGAGACTAACATTACTGTGCGAATCTTTTTGCTGCGAGATCGCGACATGTTGAAATTTGTATTTTCCAAACCTCCGGTCGAGGTCAGGAAAACACTTGAGGACTTTGAGAAAGCGGTCCAACAGGCTCTTTCACTACCTATCAGTGTCAACGTGTATGATACGCAATTTTACTCGAAAGACGACAACTCTCTGGATTTTTCGTCGACCAGCTCGTGCTTTCAGATGGTCGGCAAGGAATCTTACGATCTGAATGAGATGCGAGCGTTGCTGACCGATCCAAAGAATCAAGAATTAAAAAAGGTATACAAGGCTTATCATGTAGAAAAGGTACAGCATTGCGCCGCTATAGTGGCGAGAGCCGATGCCTCCATGACGCAGATATGGGTCTTGGCAATAGCGGTCCTCGTCGGAATTGCGACCATAATATCCAGCTGTACGTTGTGCTGTATGCATTCGAAGTAAGTATTATCGTTAAAAAAAATTTCAAGTTATTAATGACAAAATTTGTACATATTAATAGCAAGCTCTTTAAATTAAAGCTATGTAAAATTTATTTTTCGATATGCATTTTGCTTTTATTGCTATTTTTAATAAATCTAATTAATTTTTTTAATTTTCTGTAATATTTGAGTTATCAATTTTTCATCACAAGTTAGATAAACAATTAATTTTTTTAAATTCTCTGTAATATTGCAATAACATTTTAACAATATATATATATATATATATATATATATATATATATATATATATTGTGTATTAGAATATAGAGAAGCTAAATAATATTTTTTATATAATTTTACATCAAGTAATAATTTATCTTTATTTCTCTCCTAATTCATATTTTTTGACATCTCGGGATAATTTATCATGGCTTGAAATTTACTTGGCAGTAAAGGCGTTAAGGTCGCCTACACACTGTTTTTTGTTACACACTTTAACGCCGTTTAGAAAGGAGGTCGCGTAACGAAAATGTCGCAATTCGTGTTTCTCTTTCAGATATAAGCGGCAAGTGAAACATGCGCGTTTGCGCGATCAACCACGACCGCCTCTTAGTTACGTGTCTTCCGGGCCTGCCATGGTCAGTGCTGGATCTCATACGACTTTAGGCCAGGGTACTATAGTCACTCTAGGTCCCCACGAGGGTCCATATGAATGGGGTGCCGACACGACGCTTTATCATCCGAGCACGCTGGGTTCGAGAACATGAGAGAGACTTAAATCAGAAAGATTTAAACTACATCGACTTTTTCTTTTCCAAGCAAAGTTTTTCAATTGTCTTTTAGTAAATCGTTTATTTAATATTCACAATTAATTCAACAATCAAAATGTTCCTCTGATGGAAAATGTTAATTAAGATACTCTTATTAAAATATATAAAATAAAAAAAGAAACGTATATATATATATACATGTGTGAAATTGTTATTAAGAAAAAATCGATTAAAAAATTTGTTTAAAAGTGGTGGTTCCTAAACTTTTTTATGATGTACCGTGTATGTCCTAGATTTTTTGAAGATGATAGTGTTGGATGAAAACTGTATTGGAAGATACAAAACTATCAAAATAATATATAACTTATAAATTTACAATTAAAAATCACTAGTTAGACAAACAATTAAGCAAGCAAATGAATTGATGGTGCTATATTTGTATTGTAAAAAGTAAATACGATTTAAGATGCATGTAATAAAGTATATGATTTGTAAAATGTGACAATATTATTTGTAAGTAATTTTAAGTAAAACTACTAACCCCATAAGATTGTATATTTCATATTCAAGTTACACTTATGTTGTTAAAAAATCGCGAGCGTTCTCCCTGTTGTAATATAATACCATATATTTAAGATAAAATAAAATTGTACATTTTATCATACATTTATAGTTGATAATATATATATATATTTAAGTTTGTATAATTTAATTTTGATTTTTTTTAAGATTCTATGTTTAAGTATTTGATAAAAGAATACGACACATATCTAATAATATCTACAATTATGATAAATAAATTATATAAATAAATCAAACTTTTAATCGCATATTTAATATCTATTTTTTAAAGTAAACATATATCAGATATAATTATATCATCTCAAATCGAATTGAAATTTCTTGGGGATTTGCTATAATATAATTTGTATGCAAAATATCCTTTTCGAGATTATTTTGTATTATTATTACATTGCAATTACATTTTTCAATTGGTTTGACAATTTCGTATCCATAAACGTAAATCATATGCTTAGTATTGCAAGATTTATGAAGCAATCTTATGTAAGCAACGAGTATCTCTCAATCGTTCTCACTAAAAGTTATTAGAGAATTGATCCACATGTCTTCAATGAAAATGTCAAGGAAGCAATTTGTATTCGAGTGGATTATAAACATGGTATTAAAATTTTTAGCTGATTACGTGGCATATATATTGACGTCATTCTTTTCTCCAGAAATGTTCAATAAAGACAAATTCTTGTTTCTGATTAATAAAAGTGGTATGATTAGTATGATGAAGTCGTATGATTATTGAACCTAGTCAAAACTTTCTTTTTATCCTATAAGTACATTTGCTTATAGATATAAATAATTTTACAAGTTAATGATTTTTTGTTCTTTCTGGCGTCTGAAATATTCTTTAAATTAATAATGTAACACATAATTCATATAACGTTCACAAAGTTTTAAAATAGATACAGATAAAAAGGGGGGATTAAGATTAAAAATCACAATAAAAATATATATCAAACAAAAATACGAAAACAATTGCATTGTGTCTAAAAATACTTTTGATAGTTTAAATGAAACAGAATGTGACGTCAAATATCTTTCGTTTTTTTCCTGTGACATTAGAATAGAATATCAAAATATTAAAGGATATCCGATAATACACTTCAACTCTCAATTTTCTCAATTTTCACTTATACTTTATACTTTCAATTCAATCCTAGCTGAAAAAATCGTGAAGCATTAAAATGCTTCAATAGCATCGATATCTTTCGAAAAATCGATGCTTTTTTTCTCGGCTTTTTAGTTGTTGTCGATTATCGTTGTGTTATCGCAATTCACGAAATTCTTCTCCGTACTCATTATCATTTTCTGTGCATTTATTTCATATTTCTCTGTGCTAGTATAATCCTCATTTAGGATTAATTTATGATTTGAAAATATTGTAGTATCCCCAACGATACCACTATCACCGTTATTTAGATCTGAATAAATTTCTGAATCGTTATTTAACATAAGATCTCCATTCTTTTGCTTATCGTCCAGATTCATCTCGTGATATCGCGTTATCGATATACTGGTCGTTTCTGAATTTTGATTCTCGAACTTCGATTCTTCGATCGCGGAATGATCGGTTAAATGTTTAGCAATCGATTCCAAGGGGGACATTATCTTCTTCACGAATTGCTGTCGCTCCTGAGTTCTCATTAATTTCGATCGATCGATGATATCGTGCCTAAAAATTAAATTTGGAATAAATTATACAATATAACTTTCCTTTTTAATTTTTCTGCCTATAAAAATAGAAAATACACACAAAATAATTATTATTTTATGATTATCAGTGATGATACAAATTTAAAGTCTATTTTTCAAAGCAAATTCAATTGATAAGTGAGATGAGAATCGAAAAAGAATTAAATCGTTAAAGACCTGTACCTGTTGAGCTTACTCTTCTTTCGAGGATACAGATTCAAATGAAATATCATTTGTTGCTTTTCGTCTTCTTCTGATAAAGTTGTAGGACTGGGTATAGCTATAAGAGGGATCGGGATCGGGGATGATGCGTGAAATTTCGGCATACGATTATAATGAAGAGGTCTTCTAGAATCGTAATTATCCGTAGATTCTTGCGGTCTCGCCCACGATGTCTTCTTATTCTGCTCCATGATATCTGTGATAGGATAAATATCGAGCATCACGCTAAACGGCTTTGGTTTGCGGTTTTTCGTGTACGTATTCGTCGAATAGGAGTTAATACTTTCGTACTGCGGTTCCGTTATAATCGGCTTGTTGTAACTGAACATGGGTCGAGGATATAAAGGATCATAGTAAGGACTGTAACGGTGTACTCCGACCGGTGAGAATCTAAAAAAGAATTATTTGATTAGTATAAATTACGTAGATTTTTCATATTAATTTATAATTAATATTATAATTAATAATTATTATTAATAATTAATCTTATAATAATGTCACATGTAATAATTTAAAATGTAATTTAAAATATACAGGGTGTCCGTCAATTTTCGAACTTAACGAAATAAAGAAGTAGATTGGCTCAAATTAAGAAGGAATGATCTGTATTTTGGGATTGTCGCAATAATTAATGAAATATTAAATAAAAAAGATCGGCCATCTGCGTGAGTAGAAGCGACGAGAGTCGTCCCACTGTAATCCGATACTACGAGTGCGGTAAAGCGATGGATCGATTAATTCGTTAAATATTTATGTATTTAAATATGCAAATTAAATATGCAATGAATCGGAATGCATTCGTTCGATTAATTTGTTAAATATTTATATATATATTTATAACGAATTAATCGAACGAATGCATTCCGATTCATCTTTTCGTTTGGTTTATATAAATATTTAATTCACTATTCGATTGATTGTATTCCGACTCGCTTCTTTATTCGATATATATAAGTATTTAATCAATTAATCGAACGATTACATTCTGGTTCACTTGTTCGTTCGGTATATATAAATATTTAAGGAATTAATCGAACGATTGCATTCGGCTTGCCATTTTACTCGCCGCGTTACAGTGAATATCGAGAGAGGCAGGCGTGGCGAATATGCGCGGCGTCGTGCACGATTTCGATCGTCCGCGTGCAGACGAAAAACGGTCAATTTATATCTCGACTTCCGGACGCAATAGCGATTTCTTTCTTTTTGCATAAAATTCTACACCATTTCGCGGCACTACCGTTTAAATCTCGTCCCGATCATCCGAGGAGCGGCTGACTTACAGTGAATATCTGAAATCTGCTTCTTGGACTCACACTTAAGTGTAATATTTATATATATCGAATAAAAAAGCGAATCGGAACGCAATCAGTCGAATAGTTAATTAAATATTTATATATACCAAACGAAAAGATGAATCGGAATGCATTCGTTCGATTAATTCGTTAAATATTTATATATATAAATAATATTTATTACAAACCTCACGTTAGATGTGGCTAAAAGGTTAACGTCCGCCGGGTGTTTCGGTTTGTACTGGTAAAATGGATCGTTATTATGTTGCGATTTGATGGAATAGGGTGACATCTCTTCATTTTCGAATTTATCACTATTAGATATCATTTCCCCTACGGTAGGGGTGAGATCGTATTTTTTCGGATTCATATAGACGCCGGTGAACTTGATGCCGCGATTTGGCACTGCAACGTTGTTAGCTAGGTACTTGATGATGTCCTGTATGTTCCTGGACGATTGTGGGTATCGGTACTGCGACAGCTGCGGATATCTAGGACGCTTGAATGATGTCGGATGCGGCGTCTTCAATTCCCAGTGAAACGGCATCGGTCGAGTTTCCATGTTCATGTCCTCGTCCATATCCGGGTGTTTATATCTTGTGAAATGATAAGAGAAAGAAAGCTGTCATCTCATTCTAATAAAAAAGAATTACTTGAGATATTATGTAAATTCTCATGATGTTATTAAGTTCCTTTTACATATCAAGTAAAAATGTGATAAATGACATTATTAATTCTTATACAGTTTAGAAGAAATCATTTATCGCGCGCAATTACTTAATGTTATCTAACGTAGAAAGTACTCTTCGCAATCAGAAAGGATGTCGACAATATATTGAAGATCATCGTTGTCAATAATATTGATGAAAGCGATATGTTAATCTGCGCGAAGCATGTTAATTCTTCAAAGGTCACAACATCGCGCCAAATTGACATTTATAATCTGCCGATCGTTTAAGTTAGAAACATCTTCAGTTATTGATATTTGTTTCTTTCGATATGTGATGATCGGAGAAAGCGGACGTGCTATTTAAAATAATCGCAGGTGTCGATCGCGACACGTGATGTCTCGCTTACCTTTGTCTTACTCGATAAACGATCGCATGATTGTCGAATAATTGCTTGGTCTCGACTTCCTCGTTTTCCCTAGCATCTTCAACAGACTTCAACACTCTCTTCCGGTGTTTGAAGTTATGCAGATTCTGCGCTCTCATCTCCGGCCCACCCATCATGTTAGCCTCATCCATCATTACGTCACTCGTTGCATTTCCTTGCACAAAATCGTCATACTTTTCATCGTCCGAACGATCTTCCATATAAAAGGCGTCGGCTTGATGAAGCATTGTAGCTTCGGATAGGATTGTAGAATTCGCAGATTTTTTCGCAAAATTAGGTGGCTTTTTGAGAGCATTCTGTAGTATATATATATGCTTCGTTTCCTGATTCATTTTACTGTTTCCTGATGTGGCGGAAGTAAAATCGTACATAAATATCGCCACCTATGGTGGAATTAAAAATTAATTTAAATTGAATTACATGTATATAATATTTACAACACTTGATACAGTCATAGCAAATTATAAAATTTAATCAAAAATCTTTAATATAATTTAATAGATAATGATAATAGTTAGATAATGTTAATAAAAATTATGAGTTGTTTATAATATTGAAAAAATATTGTACAGAGATCCGAGTAAACATTTAATAAATTCTTTATGATACTTTAATTAACCAGGAATTGACATTGGGCTACTTTCTCATGAGAGTGTCACACAAAGCCAACTCTTAATAAAACCTCGATGTCCAACTCGATTTAATTGAAAAAAATGAGGAAGCGCGATGAATCGCGAGATTGAGAGTAATAATTAATAGATTCTCGAGCGATGTTTGTCGAGCTTTTGAAGTAATTAACTCTCTTTCAAAGTAGCGGACGCTGCTGTTAATTCGTACGCGAAACATAGTTAACGCTCTATATGCGAAGCACGCAGAAATTCTTGCTCGCTTGGCTCGCCATGCATGTAAGGGATACTCTAAGATTCGCGGTGAAATTACAATTCCACACACGCCTCCGACATTAATCACCGGAGAAAACGTGCGAAATATAATTATGTCTATTGTTTCTGATGTGTGGAAGAAACTAGCGGAGAACTCCACTCCGTTTAATTATCATGTCTCCCTGACGCGTGCAACAAAATCGTGCGAAACAGGATGCATCATTTTGAGGACATTTTATCGTGCAAGGCTATTGTGTTCGTGTACGACGAAATGTGTAACAAAATGTTTGATAATGAAACGTGCATAAAGATAATTAAGAATCGTGTTATTTATACAAGTGAATTATTTTATATTCTTAACCTTGAAGTTTAATAAGATTTTAATAAGTTACTTGTAATACGATATCAATGACTCTTCATCGCCATCGACAACGATTCTTCATAGAATCATTGTCATTGATTTGCTATGACAATCATAATTGCTAAGTACACGCTCGTGTTTATGTTATAAAGAATAAGATATCTATTATTCAAATATATAAGAAAATATCTATAGCTAAGTGCTCATCACTTTCAAGCTATTCGTTGTAAGATTATTATATGGCGTTTATAATTGTTATATAGAATTTACTACTAAAAATCTAAACTTAGATAATATATAATTACTTATTAAAATTAGTACAAGTATACATATAATTATATATATATATATATATATATATATATATATATATATATATATATATAGATCAGAAATAGCAGTTATTTTATTTTTATATATTATATTTATTTTTATTATAAATAGAAAAAAATAATCACAGTAAAATTATGAAAATGAACTAAAAGAAAATAAACTAAATTATATGTTCTATTTTCTTTTTGATACTTTCTCGAAGATTTGTGACTAGATTTATTATATAAAGTAAATTAAATAACTTAATTCTTGATAAAATTATAATATAATTTATTATAATATAATAAGTGATATTAATGATTTCATTTTTAATTTATATGCTTTTTTCGCTTTCTTGTTCTTTCTAAAATATTTTCTAGCGACAAGATAAATGATAACGCGTAATTAATTAATGATATTTGTAATTCGATTTTCTCTCAATCACTCACCAGTATCACTGTTACCACAATCATAACTCCGATTGCAAATTTCCTTACAATCAAACCGTAACGACTCCTGTTGTATCGATCACTGCGATCAGAATAGAGCCCTAGCTCGGACGTACTTATGGCGGATCTCCTGCTTGTTTCAAGCATCGCCTTCTGAGAGGTCTGGCGACTGGTGTCCTTTACGATTACACATTGATGATATTGAATATCCTTAACTAAGTCAGCTTACCGTTGACATGCTCGACGAGCCTCGCTGAGATTCGTCGATTCGTTTCACCTTGTTATTGTCATCGGATATAATAACAAATCGATGAGCGTTTTTTGGCAATGATTATTTTAACAAACAAAAAGAAGTTTATTCTATAGCTTAATGGTAGTTTCTATATGGAGCACGTAAGTAGAGTTGCTGTCTCGGTGTTTCCCATGCAACTAGCGATCGTACATTTCTTGGCTCGCAGTTTTCATTAGATTCCATCAGCAGCGTGGAGATTTCCTTTGTTCGTGGGGGAGGCTCGTTACAGTAAGTAAAAGGCAGGTGGTTATGGGCTACTTACTTCGAAGCCAGACTCAAGTGCTGAGACATCGCACGACACGCGGGGAAAATCTCTCACCGTTCCAATGCTTGACCCGCTAAATACGCTTCTAAAACTCTAGTTTCGTTCGCTCATACGTCAAAGTAACACTGCGATTTCTTGTTCGTGATGTGCACTTTGTCATATCAAGTGTCTACATACGTATCAAGATTAATAGAAAGCGGTTTGAAGAAAGGAATGTGAGATAACATGTGGAATTATACAGAGCCAGTTATGGAGAAATCTACTGTCAAATATTGTAAGCTATACAAATAAAGATTAATATTATTCTTTGTAACTATTATTATCCTTCTTATGACTTATTAAAAATATTATATCTTGTAAAGAATATATCTTGTAAAGGACTAGTTATTTTATTACATACATACGTATATATATATATATATATATATATATATATATATATATATATATAATACACACACATACACGTACACACACACACACACACACACACACACACACACACACACATATATATATATTGATAAAAATATTTTAATTAAGTAAAATCTGTTTTACTCATAAAGAATGTGTTATTTAATTTTTTAAATCTATTTAAGAAAAAAAATATAATTGCAATATTTTTTAAAATATATGTTCATTGTTATGAATATAAAAAAATACTTCTAATTATAAAATGCGGGTAGTTTACACTTAGCTTACAATTAGTGCAATTAAATCAATCTTATATATAAACGTATTTTAATATACTAGATGGATCGTTAAAATTAATAGTAAATATAATGTGCATAATTTCTAGAAATTATTATATTATTATATTTCATTTTAAAATATATATTAAAATAATTTGATGCACATTAGCATATAATTATTATAATAAAATATTTAATAAATATTATATATATATATATATATATATATATATATGCATATGTGTATATAACAAATATTTCATTAGATATATATTACTGGATATATACAGGGTGTCACTTAATTGGCGCCCACTATTTATATAGCAATATTCTTCGTGGAAAACTGAGTCGAAAAGTCCTGAACCATTTTTTTCTATAATGAAAAAAATTTGAAACCATTTTTTTGAATCAAAGAATTAGACTCTATATGTATTAAACAACATGATAAGAAACTAGCAAATAAGAGTCACCACGGATGGTAGTGCGTAAAATTTTTCTTAAATTATTCGCGAAAATTTGAACGTGCACAAGGCATATACATATATTTTACTTGGTGCATTTACCAAGGTATAGATTCTCATTTTTTGAGAATTCTATAAACCTCTCTTTATCTCCACTGAGGATACATAGACAAGAAAAATATCGGGGCAAAGTCTTTGATACCCTTTGATTCCCGATTCAGCGACTTCGCCTCGATATTTTTCTCGTCTACGTTTCTTCAGGGGGATAAAGAGGGATTTATAGAATTCTCAAAAATGAGAATCTATATCTTGGTAAATGCACCAAGTAAAATATATGTATATGCCTTGTGTACGTATAATTTTCGCGAATAATTTAAGAAAAATTTTACACGCTACCATCCGCGGTGACTCTTATTTGCTAGTTTCTTATCGCATTTTTTTGAAACTATTTTTTTAAACCATTTTTTTCTTCTATAATGCGAAAAACTTTATTTTGCATTAAAAATCATATTTCTTCCGTTAAAAGCGTTTCCTTAAAGAAAATTTCGTCAAGGAGGCTAAAGGTCGGTGCTTATTATGGTGCAACTTTACTCAATAATTACCGCTTTATTAAGCATTACAGAAAAAAATGGTTCAGGACTTTTCGACTAAGATTTCCACGAGGAATATCGCTATATAAATAGTGGGCGCCAATTAAGTGATACCCTGTATACTAAACAAATATCATTATATTTGTATAAAAAGGCAAACTTATAAAATTATATATAACTATATGTATATAACTTAATACTTTGCAATAAAATTTTAGTTATATCTTCTTTACTTATTAAAAAAATACTCTAACATACTTGGGTTATTAGTATAATAAATCTTTATATTCTTGTGTATAACATAGTGTTAAATTATAAATAAATAATTTATATTAAGGCAAAAAAATATGTTAGTGGTATTTTTATAAAATCTTTTATTCTTTTTCCATATCTATCACACATATATAAAAAGACGCACGCTGATCGGCTAAATCTTTATCCAAAAAAATCAATGAGGCAAAAACGATTGATATATAAAAAAACAATATTCTAGATGTACCGCGGTTGAAATTGCCACTATTAAATAGTAATAAGCTATTAAATTTATAATTCTGTTATTAGCTAATTTTACTATTATCATCTAATATTTTTCTTTTAAATGCATAGATTTCACTGATCAACAACAAACATAAAATCATTCACGTTATTAGCCCTCATCGTTTACGAGTTTCAAAAGCGGGTCCTTTAGGCGGTAGATATTCATAACCTATAAAAGGTCTGGGTGGCGTGGGTGGCGGCAGAGTAGGTGGTGGAGCAATCGTTCCATTAATTGGCTTTGGGGGTGGCGTTCTGAGTGTAGTTTCATAATTGACTGAAGGATACGGCGGCGGTGTAACGGTCGGAATGATTGTTGTCGGTTGCGGCGGTGGAAGATACGTTCGTTCGTATGGAGGCAGAGTTGTCGTCTTGAACGTGGAGGTAGTTCTAATGGTTGGTGTAGTAATGATAGAAGATGTAGTCCTGATAATGGGTGTAGTTGATAGAGAAGTAGTACTCGGTGTGAAAATTTTCGTAATATCTGTTGATGGACTATATCTAGTAGTCAAAGTTGTTGTACTTATGGTTCTTGTAGTAGGCTTTGTGGTAGTGCTTGGTGGAAGGTAAGTGGAAGGTGGTTGTGTAACCGGAGTATATTTTGAGGTAATAATTCGAGTTGAAGTAATGGGTCGCTGGGTAGTCGATCGTGTTGTGACTATAGGTATTCGAGTAGTTGATTGGGTTGTACTTACAGATGGTCGGGTTGTACTTACAGATGGTCGGGTAGGTGGTTGGAAAGATGGTAATGTTATAAATGAAGATGATTGAGTTACATCTTCTGGTGGCAGATAATAAGGTGGTCTAGTTGGAGGGGGTGCTGGTGGTACGTAGGGTGGTCTAGTTGGAGGAGGTGCTGGTGGTACATAGGGTGGTCTAGTTGGAGGGGGTGCTGGTGGTACGTAGGGTGGTCTAGTTGGAGGAGGTGCTGGTGGTACGTAAGGTGGTCTAGTTGGAGGAGGTGGTGGTGGTACGTAGGGTGGTCTTCTAGTTGGAGGAGGTGGTGGTGGTACGTAAGGTGGTCTAGTTGGAGGGGGTGCTGGTGGTACGTAAGGTGGTCTAGTTGGAGGGGGTGCTGGTGGTACGTAGGGTGGTTTAGTTGGAGGGGGTGCTGGTGGAACATAGGGTGGTCTAGTTGGAGGGGGTGCTGGTGGTACGTAGGGTGGTCTAGTTGGAGGGGGTGCTGGTGGTACGTAGGGTGGTCTAGTTGGAGGAGGTGCTGGTGGTACATAAGGTGGTACATAAGGTGGTCTAGTTGGAGGAGGTGGTGGTGGTACGTAGGGTGGTCTAGTTGGAGGGGGTGCTGGTGGAACATAGGGTGGTCTAGTTGGAGGGGGTGCTGGTGGTACGTAGGGTGGTCTAGTTGGAGGGGGTGCTGGTGGTACGTAGGGTGGTACGTAAGGTGGTCTAGTTGGAGGAGATGGTGGTGGTACGTAGGGTGGTCTAGTTGGAGGGGGTGCTGGTGGCACGTAGGGTGGTACGTAAGGTGGTCTAGTTGGAGGAGGTGGTGGTGGTACGTAGGGTGGTCTAGTTGGAGGGGGTGCTGGTGGTACGTAGGGTGGCCTAGTTGGAGGGGGTGCTGGTGGTACGTAAGGTGGTCTAGTTGGAGGAGGTGGTGGTGGTACGTAGGGTGGTCTAGTTGGAGGGGGTGCTGGTGGTACGTAGGGTGGTCTAGTTGGAGGAGGTGCTGGTGGTACGTAAGGTGGTCTAGTTGGAGGAGGTGGTGGTGGTACGTAGGGTGGTCTAGTTGGAGGGGGTGCTGGTGGTACGTAGGGTGGTCTAGTTGGAGGAGGTACTGGTGGTACGTAGGGTGGTCTAGTTGGAGGAGGTGTCGGTGGTATGTAGGGTGGTCTAGTTGGAGGGGGTGCTGGTGGTACGTAGGGTGGTCTAGTTGGAGGGGGTACTGGTGGTACGTAGGGTGGTCTAGTTGGAGGAGGTGGTGGTGGTACGTAAGGTGGTCTAGTTGGAGGGGGTGCTGGTGGTACGTAGGGTGGTTTAGTTGGAGGAGGTGCTGGTGGTATGTAGGGTGGTCTAGTTGGAGGGGGTGCTGGTGGTACGTAGGGTGGTCTTCTTGTTGATGTCGTAGTTGATATTCTAATATCCGGAGTTACATAAATATATCCATTCGGTTTTTTTGTTGTAGTCGATATTATTTTAATTTCTGGAGTTGTATAAGTATATATGTCCGGCCTTTTTGTTGACGTTGTAGTCGATATTGTAACATTCGGTTTTCTATAAACATAGCCATCTGGTTTTCTTGTTGTAATCGTAGCATCCGAGCCTGCAGAAGTATATATGTATGGTTCTTTTGTTGTAGTCGATGTTTTAATACCCGAGGTTGTATAAATGTATGGCTTTTTAGTTGTAGTCGATATTTTAATATCCGGAATTGTATAAATATATGGCGTTTTAGTTGTAGTCGATATTTTAATTTCCGGAGTTGTATAAATATATGGTTTTTTAGTTGTGGTTGATATTTTAATATCCGGAATTGTATAAACATATGGCTTTGTAGTTGTAATCGTAGTATCCGGGATTACAGAACTATATATGTCTGGTTCCTCTGTTGTAGTCGATGTTTTAATACCCGATGTTGTATAAATGTATGGCTTTTTAGTTGTAGTCGATATTTTAATATCCGGAGTAGTATAAATATATGGCGTTTTAGTTGTAGTCGATATTTTAATTTCCGGAGTTGTATAAATATATGGTTTTTTAGTTGTGGTCGATATTTTAATTTCCGGAGTTGTATAAATATATGGTTTTTTAGTTGTGGTCGATATTTTAATATCCGGAGTTATATAAATATATCCATCCGGTTTTTTTGTTGTAGTCGTAAAATCCGGGACTGCAGAACTATATGTGTACGGTTCTTCTGTTGTAGTTGATGTTTTAATACCCGAGGTTGTAGAAATATATATGTCCGGCCTTTTCGTTGATGTTGTAGTCGATATTGTAACATTTGGCTTTCTATAAAAATATCCTTCAAATTCTGGATCCGAAGTATATCCCGTGAACGTGTATGGTTGATTCCCTATGTTTCTTGGTGTTCTGTTAATATAATTAACGAATACATATGCGATTAAAAATTATTACTTATTATTAAAATTCGATGGGTTAAGAATTATAATATTTTTCTAAATAAACCTAATCATAATGATATATAAGTATTTTAATTTTAAAATGCTCGATTGCACTTACGAAGGTGGCAGAAAATTCTGATATTTATTTGGGTTATACTCTATCGCACGTTTCCTTCTCTCATGATTTGCATCTGCATCATGGGTGGTAAGCACGGCCACGAAAATGGCCACCCAAAGTAGCTTCCACTGTAACATAATTTTCATTATAATCCATCAATTTCATATTCATAATTCCATAATTCAAATAATATTAGGATATTAAATCCTATGCTGTCATGTTAATTTTTTAAATTATATTTTATAGCTATTACACGTTTATAATCAGTGTTCAATATTTTATATATATATATATATATATATATATATATATATAATATTATATATGTATATAATAGTAGATATTATTAAAAATATTTCTTGAATTAAAATTTTTCGAATATATTACGTCAAAAAAAATGTGTTGATATCAGTGATTAAAATAATAAAAGTTTCTTTTTTCTTTTTCCTAATAATCACTTGAGGCATTTGAGTACAATCGTAATACATTAAAGATCATCTCCGTGGGATAATCTCACGCCTCACCCATGATAGTCTTACATAACGCATCTCTGCCGTGAGATATGCAATTTATACAATGTATGTACTGTCTGTACAATTTACATCGTATTATTCGGCAGTGATGAAAGATTTACGTGAAATTTAAAATATCATATTTTCGTTATTAATTAATATTTGATATCATACAAATAATGCTATTTGTTAAATAATCTATTTACTCATTAAAACTAAAATATAACAATGTTAATAGTAAAGTAAATAGATTAATAAATTTTATTTTTGTTTCTAATGAATTTACGACTTGATTACTAGCTTTAAAATGATTAGATATAATAACGATAATTATTTATCAACGTCAACGTAAGTTTATTCACATCTTTCGAAAGATTATGCGAGTCGTAATTATGTAAATGTAAAAGGATTCATATGAACAACTTTCTTGCAAGGTTTCTTACAACTGTGAAATAACACACTATTTTGTGAGAAAAATGGCAGCACGATTTGCATAGCCTCCCTTGTCGAATGCCAGAAGTTGCTTTTGACGGAATTTATGACGGGATTTATTTGCAAATCATTTACCGACGACAACACATGAATAATCGTCATATGGTTGCAACTGTAGAATTGTGTTCAAAAAACTCCAAGAAGGAAGAAATTGCTCTTTCTCAAGATACTTGTCAAAGAATCATTAAAATTTAAATTACACATACATACACAGTAGAATGTAAAAAAGTTAATTTCAAAACCTTGTACGATCTCGCATGTTAGTTCATCGTTAACGATTATCTCGCTGCACTGATAAGTAGGACAATTATCAGAGCATAATAACTACAAACATCTAATAACAGATATGATATCCTGTTTGCTTAGTATTACACGAAAATATTAGAGATTCATGCAAATTAAATAAATCGATTGTCACAAAATATCCTTAGGCGTTTCATTTACATTTGGAGAAAGTGTGAAGCCGCGAAAGATGCTGACCGATAAGCGAGATGGATCTCAATAGCCTTTTTTCACTGAACTGACGGATGGATCGTGCAAGGTGCAAAATATTTCTTGCGTAATGCAATCAAGCGTTGAAATTTCTAATCACGCGATTGTCGCTAATGGACACACGGAAGACAGCTGACAAAGATTCGATCAATTCGCGAAGTAATTGTCGAGAAGCAAAATTTTTTCTGTATACATCTTCTCGAGAAAATTACATGCTCATATAAATAAAGAGGAAAATGTCGCAAACGCCGTTTTAGTGAAAACAAATTTTATTATTATAATTAAAGATATCAAGATATAACTAGAAACTTTCTATATAATTCTAGAGTTTGTATTAAAATGTCAGTTAATATAATATTACATAAAATACGTAATAAAATATTTGTTGAATAAAAGTTTATTAAATAGTATATATTATATAATATAAACTAAATTATATCATAACAAATAATTAATATAAATTAAAATGTAATTAATTTCAACTAAATTTAAACATGACGTAAAATTTATATTCTTATGATGCATTTAAATCTTATCAAAAAAAACTTAATTGTACTTATAATTTTTGGGCATAAAATAGATCCTAGAATTTTTAAATATTTATGTCGGATTTATTTAAAAATTTATATATATAATCTTTCTCATATTAAAAATAAATGTTAAGATTTCACGAAAAGTTGTCAATAGCTAAAGAGTAATATTGAGATATTATCGAGATTTAATAACGACTATAATGTTCATATACGAGAAATGATAGCACTAAGGTGATTTTGATAGTTTCAATATCTAACTAATAATTACATTATATGTTTAGTAACAGATTATCATATTAATATTTCTTATTGATAACCCCATTACTTATTGAGTGAATATTAATTGTAAAAAATGCAAAATGTTAAGAAGGATTAAACAAAATTATCCATCTTCCATAATTATATGACCATTTATAACAGACGGTTTACGAAGTTGTATCATTAGTTCGTCTATGACATAAATTATGAAAGTAGGCAATGTAACAAATGTGTGTGTGTATATGTGTAGTGCATAATAAAAGATTTTGAGAAAATTAATACATTATTTTTCATAATTGTTACAATATTTTACAAAAATCCAAGACAAGAAATTTGAGTTAAAACATAAATATAAATATGATTTGAATTTTACTTTGTTCTTTCATTTTCAAACAAGAATTTATTTAGTATTACATAATATTTTTATACGGAGCAATGTGCGATTCGGGAGGCATGTCGTAATACGCGATAATCTACGCAACGCATCCTTGACAGGAAAAAAAGAACAGATACCATAATTCGCGACATTCACATCGGACGCGTCCAAGCCACGCTATAAACGTTAGCTGGAGAAAGCAATTTGTCTGGTTCGGCTTAACGCGACGAACGTTCTTAGCGAAACAGTCTTAATTGACGTGGGGCGCGCGCGGTTTCAATGGGTAAGCGTGCGACCGGGTCAACCATATAAGGTGTAAATATAGTTTCTTACATAACACGCGCACGAGAGCCTAGATTATATCTTCTAATAATAAAGTACGCGAAGATCTTTGCACTTTCCAATTATTTCGGCCAACAATAATAAATGCTTTGATCGATTAATGTAACCTCCATCGATGACATATCAAAAAAAATGATATTTCAGAACATAAAAATTATTCTACTAAATGATATGTTATAACAAAGTTTTTTTTAAAATAAATTTTATGTACTATTAATAAAATATATAGTTTATATGTAGTATTATATATATATATATATATATATATATATATATATATATATACATGTAGTATATGTATAAACTATTACACTTTTAGAAATTATTATACTTTTTGAATTTAAAAAAATTCAAAGTGGGATCTGTATAACATGGTTCATATTTATTCAATTTAATTTAGCTCCACAAAGTTTGCAAGGAATTTTATTAATTATAATATTTCGTCAAACTGCCATGCTTGTTTTTTAATTATCAACATATCATATAATTTGTTATAATAATAATAGTTTTTATTTGTTGTAATAATAATAGTTTTTATTTAGAGTCCTCAAGTTTTAATTCGAGTTTTAAGTTTTTGTCATTCAATTATCAATTAATGCAGCAAGAAATAAAGTAATATCTTGGATCAGCTGTTATCAATGCATTACAATAATCATTTTTGAAAAATAAACCTCTAGCAAAAATCGTTGGCGCTGTTTTGTCTGCGACTAATGTTACTTTCTGTCTACGAAGTCACGTCTCTATCGCCGAAGAATAATATCTTTGACATGAGGAAGAATATAGAAGAGAGAAAAGAGTAATTATCAACAGCCGACAAAAGTCTAGACTATATTGTATTTGGTGTTTTCGCTGTTTAACATGACAGAGGTTCTTTTCGAACCAAGTCGTACATGCAAGCTGAAAACTGATGCCTTTGCTTTTCAGCCCCACGACATTTCACGATATGTTCAACCGATTACGTGTTACATAGTAAGAAGCTGCAGTAACATGTTCATTCGCCGCATACGTGTCATAAAAAGTATCACTTTCCCCTTTATATTAGATGGTATATAAGCAATTATTATTGTCGGATCCTTCAATAGCATTGCAGCAAAAATTCCGAATTTGGTATGAGATAAAGAAGATTTAAATGAATATAAAAGCTAAATAAGGTTTAAGTTAATTTAAAATCTAATATAAATCTCGACATCTCTATAAAAATTTAAATTAAATTAGAATTTAATCGAAATTAAATACAAAAATTACTTGAAATATCATCATATAGAAATGATAAGATCTGCATTACTTAAAAAGAGGTATTATTATTTTTCAACCATCTGAATTTATTGCTTATTCTTTCATGCTGAAGTAATGTTAGTGCTATTCTCATATTTCAAGTTATTCAAAATTTCTCTTAATTAATGATCTAGACGACAGTAAATAAGGATACGGTGGCAAGTTTATTTTTGATAAACGAGGATGTAGAATAGGATGTAGAGAGTGAGGCGTGTATAATTAAAGAGAATTCGTCGATGAATACTGTTGCCAAAAGGTAGAAGTTCATGTCTCCGCTACGTTATAATTGTATTACGTAAACGAGAGCCGATGCGGTTGACCTCGGCAAGATCGATCCCGTCCTGTCGCGGGGAGAAAAACACGGATGCAGGTGGGAGAAGAAAAAGTACAGCCGGGTATTTATCATTATTACGAAAGGACGGGAGGCTCATCTTGAAATTTACTGACCAATTTGGCCCCGAAGCGACATGCTATTGCATAATCGAAATACCACGACGGGCGGCATCTCTGATTGGTTAGCTGACTGATGCGATTCGATTGATCGACACGAATACGGGAGATGAAGACGGTCTCTGACAAATGTAAATGATCGGCTTTCCGCATTTACTATCGGTGTTATATCTATACTTGCGAGTGTGAATCATATGAGTCGTGAGAAGTCTCTTAATCTTATATTTGAGTCTTGCAATCGAACGAATGTTATGATATTGATAGATAGCGATCAAATTGCGTTTTTTATTGAGTTCTAAGATATCTTGTATTGCTTTCTATATCGCGCAACACTACTTTGCATTTCTTTCGTAAGAGAAAGGATAGAAGATTTTAATTAAGAATACTATATCTAGCAC